AAATCTGTGAACAATGCAGTAATTGTATTTCTGTGTTAGTCTGCTCTCTAGGGTATTGACTTTACATGTTAAAATGCTGGGCCACTTGGAATAAGTTAAAATCAATTAATAAAATTACCTTCTCAAGACAAAAAAAAAAACAAAAAACTTGTTTAGTTACCTCATTCCTATACTCAGAATCCTCCAGTAGCTCCCCGTCTGACTAATAATAAAAATCAATCTTTCAGTGGTCTTATAATCCTTTACTTCCCCCCCCTTTTTTTTTCTTTTTAATACTTATTTGAGAGAGAGGAGGGGACAGAAGGAGAGGGAAAGAGAGAATCTCAAGCAGACTCCCCTGCTGGGCATGGAGCCCGATGCGGGGCTTGATCTCAGGACCCCGAGATCAGACCTGAGCTGAAACCAAGAGTCAGATGCTCAACCAGCTGTGCCCTCCAGGCTCCATTACTTGCCCTTCCTTTCTTTCATTCTACTTCCTCAGACGTGCCACGCATGCCCCTAACGCAGGGCCTTACTCCTTGTTTCTCTTGCCTAGAAGTTTCTCCCTAAAGATATTTCACATCGTTTTATGTCACCAATGAGGCATTGCTCCATTGTGACCTTCCTGGTGAGGCCTTTCCTGACCACCCCTGCCCCCAGCACTCTCCGTCTACCCTATTTTCTTCCTTTATAGCTCTTTTTTTTACCATCTCCTCACTAAAATGTAAGTTCCGTCAGGCAGGAATTTGTATGTTTTATTTCTAAATCTACAGAGCAGTACTTAATCAAATAATCGACCACCAGTAATGTTTGAAGAAACGTATATACAGATAGATGAATAAGGGATTTGTTTCACGTAGCTGGTTGTCACTAATGAAAAGTACACATGTATAGATATGTGTCCCAAGTTCTAGTTCTAGTATCTCTGCCCTCTCTTGCCTTTTCTTTTAACTTGACTTTAAGTTCTGGTAATCTGTTAGCATTTCTGGCCTTCTGCCGTAGGCATCCCTTCCCATCTTGACCTTGAAAATCAGTCCATAATTTATCTTCATTTTGGCTACACAGTAACCCAGCTGCAGTAGGACCCAAGTAAGAAAAGGTGTTCCAAAGGGACCTTGATGAAGTTAGTCCTGCACAGGAATGGAGAGAAAGTGTGAGAGACCCAGGAGTAAGGAGGAGGAGTAGGGTATGAGTGAACATAACAGTGTGAATAGCAGCAGAGAATGTTACCAACAGAGGATTACATGTGACAAATCTCAATACCATGACAGGGGATGTGTGAAAAATAGATAGATGTAAGGCCTGAGAGGTGGTGTGTCAAGCTAAAACAATCTAATGAGAAGCATCAGAGCAGTTCTGCTAATTATTGTATTTGTTTATGGCAGGTAGAATATGTGATAGGTACTGTCAGTTTTTATCTCTAAATATATATCTTTTTAAATTTCTAGGCTTTTGCAGATATGCTGAAAGTGAACAAAACTTTGAAGAGCTTAAATATGGAGTCCAACTTTATTACAGGAGCTGGTATTCTAGCACTGATTGATGCTCTGAGAGATAATGAAAGCCTGGCGGAGCTCAAGATTGACAATCAGGTCAGTGTTCTACAGCAGTAAGTGAGGAAGCCACAGCCCACTCCGCCGTGGGGAGGCTGTGGACTCCAGAGGCAGGTGGGAGGGGCTTTGGGGAGCCTTTTGGGAAGGTGGTGGCCTCAAAGGAGATGAGGACATGTGAAGTGTCCAGAATATTAACTTAATATTTTGAGTCTGGGCTTGAGCGTATTCATAGAGTTGTGCAGCCATGGCCACTAATTCTAGAACATTTTCATCACCCCTCCCACCAGCCCTGGCAACCACTTACCTACTTTTTGCCTCTACACATTTGCCTATAAATGGAATGATATAATATGTGGTCTTTTGTGTCTACCTTCTTTCACTTAGCAAAATATTCTGTAGGTTCATCCATGCTGTAATATATATCTGTAGTTACTCTTTTTTTTATGGCTGAATAATCTATTACATGTGGGTTGTTTCTACTTTTTGAGTATTAGGAGTAACACTGATATGAACATTCATATACAAGTTTTTATATGAATGTAGATTTTCATTTCTCATGGGTATATACCTAGGAGCGGAATTGCAAGGTCATGTGGTAACTCTGTGTTTAACTTTCTGAGGAATGGCCAAGTTGTTTTCCACAGCAACTGCACCATTTTACATTTGTACCAGCATGTGTGAGCTTCCCAATTTTTCCACATTCTGGCCCAAAACTTGTTATTGTCTTTTTGATTATAATCATCTTATAATAATGGGTATGAAGTGGTATCTCCTTGTGGTAATCCAGTTTTTTGATGTCTGTATGAACATATACTGAGCTTCGAAATTTTGTCTCTCTTATGTATGTATGTTGTAAGAAGTGGGAAAATTTAAAAAGACCAGCAGAATCAGCATTTACCTGAATGTCTTAGTCTTAACTTACCTTGAAAGTATTTTGATCTAGTTTATTAATACTGTTCTTTATTTTAATTATTCCAGAGGCAGCAGCTGGGGACAGCTGTAGAATTGGAAATGGCCAAGATGCTTGAGGAAAATACAAACATCCTTAAATTTGGATATCAGTTTACACAGCAGGGACCCCGAACCAGGGCAGCTAACGCTATAACAAAAAACAATGATTTAGGTAAGGCATATGCATTTCAAATCAAATTTCTGAATTGTATCATTAAACTAATATATTAGAGGGATTTTTTTTTTTTTTTACAATAGATTTCAACACAGATTTTTGGGCCTTTGTTTTTAAAATCTGCACGGTCCTTTTTATGTTGATTGAATTAGAATTCAGTTTAAGCGCAGTTGTAGTGATTACTGGGTTCCTGGGGGAAATCTTCCTGTCACAAACATTTCACAGCTTTAAGCGAACAGTTTTCTACCAGAAACGTAATATAAATGCTTCCTGGAACAAAAATTTTGTTCTCAGTTACAAGTCTCCTCTTGGAGCTAGTAAAGATTTCAACATTTCAGGAAAGTTTTTTACCCTTTTTATCAAATAGGCCTAGATAGAAATTCATTTTTACATGATATAATATGGATTATAGTTTTGATCCAAGTTGTATAGCGTATGACACGTAAGTGTCCGCTGTCCTTTCCGGCCTCCCTGACCCAGCTATTACTGGGCAGCTCGTCTTCTCGCTGCACACATCGGTCAAGGTCAGAGGTTGCCCATTTTTTCCCGGTTCCTACTGAAAATACTGCTGAAACTTGTGCTTGTTTGAAATAAGTTTTCCAGCCAAGGCTGAATTAAAGAATATGATGCTTGTCATTTTGTTTCTACTTGTTTCCGATAATTGACTCTTCTTTAAGTTTGGTGTTTATCATTGAAATATTTTTAAAGATGTGTTTAGACAGGAATTAAAATAAGACTTCTTAAAGGGAGTAACACTTCAAAGTGATGCAGTTCTTTTAAGCTTCAGCCATATTTGAGTTTGCATTCTTTAAAGGTTTCTAAAGCAGAAAAGTTACAGCTTCCTTCCCTCAACCCAAATTACTGTGAAGAGTATTAGTTCAAATCCTTCCTGTCTGTCCTTTGTTTCCCAGAGAAGATTTTAGCCTCCTGCATTTTAGAAAATTGGTGTGTTCGGTGTACTGTTGATTCTCAGTGTAATTTGCAAAGTCATGCTAATTACATCGAGAAGGAACAGTATACCAAAAGATGAGATAACACATGAAAAGTACTTCCTGGGCTGCTTTATGTTGACACTGTGCTGCTGAGTAGGTGTCCATGGCCACGTGTGGTAGAGGATGAGGAGGCCACGTTGAAGGTGTGGTCTGATGTGAAGCCGAAGTGAGAGAAAGCAAAAGCTTTCTGTGGGTACCTCTGGAGACCTCCACCTCATCATGCTCTTTCATCCTGAGCCAAGCCAGAGTTTCAGACATGAAATGAGAGGGGAAGTGCATGGATAGAAGCCCACATTTGGGATCCAGCTAGTTGTTTATATGCTGAGGACAGCTTGCAGATTGTGAAAAGGGACTCATTGCAGGCTGCTGCCTCCAGAGTAAACTCGCAATAAGTACTTGCTGCTGGAAGCTAACACAATGAAAAAGTGATGTCAGCAGATTAAAAGGCAGTGCTGGTAGAAGGCACTAAAATGAGATGGGAAGAAACTTAGTTCCTTTGGATTTGTTTGTGGGAGGCATCTGAGAGCCATTATTGGCCACTGAATGCATGATTAAGATGATACTTAAAAAAAACTATTTTTTATTCTTCTAGAGATCAGATGTGAGGTTAGAACTTACTTGCAATTGATCATAAAGTATTGAGAACTTCTATTAGTGGAGTGGGTTTTGGAAAGAAATTGCCAAAGAATTATTAATAGGTGGGGTGTCTGGGGGGCTCAGTCAGTTAAGTGTCTGCCTTCGCCTCAGGTCATGGTTCCAGGGTCCTGGGATCGAGCCCCGCATCGGGCTCCTTGCTCAGTGGGGAGTCTGCTTCTCCCTCTGCCTGCCGCTTCTCCCTCTGCCTGCCGCTCCCCCTGCTCATGCTCTCTCTTGCTCTGACAATACATAAAATCTTTAAAAAAATGAATTGTTAATAGGGCCAAATTTATGAGCCTCTCATCTAGTAGCTAAACCAAGGAACTGCTGGTAGCAAGTAGGTACTGAGTGAGGAAGAAGAGTCCGTCCGACCTGGCTCTTGGCCCCGTCTTCTGCTGTGTGCGCTCCCAGCACCCTCTGCCCAACGTGTCAGTCTCGGCGCACAGGTCAAGGCGACAATCGTCAAGACCCTGTGTTCATACCGGCAATCTGACAGGGAGCCACCAGAAAGACCTCACAGATCAAAACTTGAAACATAAAATCTCCGGGGCATCTAGTTTTCCTTCACCTTGCACATGGGGCTGTATCAGATCTTCAGTGTTGATTCCTGTGTCTTACCTCTCATTGTTTCCTGTTCCTGGAAACAATCCTACCTACCGCCATCTCTCCAGCTGTGACCAGCAGGGAGCGTCCATGGCGCACACGCACTATTGACTTGAACTCGGAATCTCCTGTTACTGTCCACACGCCAGCTGATCACATCATTTCCAGCCTTTTTTGTCTGCTCTCTTCTGGCACAGACCTCCTTTACATGTGTTTTTTATGACATGCATTTTAACACCTGAAATGGTCTGCCAGTAACCTCCAAACCCTGCTGCAGTTTAGCGTTCTCTTGGAAATGTTCTACCCTAAAGGGTTAATCTGGTCTTTCAAGAAAGTATTTCCATATTTTTCAGAGATCTATATATATGAATAAGGTTTGTATTTGAGGACTCAAGTCTCTACTTGATTTTTTTCCCTCAATATTTCAGTAAACACGCAAGACTTGTTTTTGTTAACATGGACTAAAATCAGGGTGAAGGTTGTACTTAATTAGCTAAGTATAAAAATGCTCATGGGAGCCTGATACTTCAGTTCTCCTGGTTTTTGCTCTCTAGCTAGCACCCAGCCAACGGCTGCCCAAGCTTTTAGGCACATCACTCAAATGTCTGCTTGAAGACCCCATCCTGCCGTCACTGAGTACAGCCTACTGATTTGAGGTCACCAGTCTGCAAAGCGGCTGGGGGCTCCTGAGACCTCTGCACCTTTCTTTTGCTCCATCCACTGAACTAGTTGACTGAGCATTTTGGTGGCCAGAGTCTATTATGGCCACCAGGTAGGACCTTACCGCCTGACTAGGGTCTGAGGAGTCCGTTCCTTTGTATTTTGTTTTTTTGTTAGAGCCTGGTTCATTTTGTAGGAGACACTAGAAGGAAAATTTGGAAAGCAGTAGCAAGTCTTTTACCTCTAAAATGACAAAAATGTTTTTGTTACGTTCTTTCACAAACTAAGGAAATGGGTTGTGGTGCCTCGTCAGAAGAGCATACAAATCGTTACTTTTAATACTTTCTAATCCCAGCTGTTGGAATGTGACTTCAGGATTTAACACAGTAATTTATAAGGCATTGTCTTAACAGGTATCAATTTTTTTAATAACAAATGAGACGGGTGCAGGTGAAGGTGGATACAGAGCAGTTTAGATTTCTCCCGCTCCTGTGGGAGCTCATGTGAGCTGAGGACACGTGGTTCGCATTTTGAAGCCCCTCAGTTCTCAACAAGTAAATGGCAATGATGAAGGATGCAAGTTTATTTTAATGGCCCTTTGAACAACAAATGGACATTTCATTTCTGTACAACTCTAACAGATCATACAGAAACTTGTTCCTTACTAGGAAGTTAACATTGTACGAAGTAACCGAGATTTCTAATACGCTTTCTTTTTTTTTCCTCACAGTTCGCAAAAGACGAGTTGAAGGAGACCACCAGTAAGTCCACCAAGATCCAATCTTTGGGAGACTTGAAGGGTTCACCAAGAGCTCATGGTGGTGATGTCAGATGTAACATTTTCCTGGGTAGAAGGGAAAAGACTGGAAATCTTTTTTTTTTTAAACTACATGTATCTTTTTTCTAGTTTACGTTAACAGTTTCAAACTGTAAAATCAATAGTAGGTGGTATTTTGTATTTTATAACATTTTTTCTTTCTGCTAAAATCAATTTTAATTTAGCTTAATTAAATGGTTTGTGATGAGCCATGAGTTAAAAAGTACAATTGTGAAAGAAGTTTAGGAAATCATTTATGTAAAATACTATGAACATTTTAAGGACCAATCTTTTTTAAATCAAAAAGGGACCTGACTGATATGAGAATTGCTGTTGCACCTGTTAGGTACAAGACCCTCATCAGAGCTTTCTTTCCTTATCCCGTTGCATGGAGTCCTTGCCGTGTTTTAGAATACATAAACTTGGCAAGAGTGTGCTTTCCGTTTCTATCAAGAAAGCAAAATGCCAAAATTTTAAAACCGATGACTCAAGATCTGGTCCTCTGTTCAGGAGTACCAGCCCATCTCTGGGAGAGAGAAAGGGGCCTCCTGCACATTCCAGGACACCACACTTGTCTGATGGATGTGAGTTGGCAACACCTAGACTTGTTTAAACAAAGTCGTCGGCTTGGCCAGGTTCTGTACTTTGTTTAAAAGTATAGTTATGTCTAAATTCATTATAGTTTTTTATTTTAATTGGGCATTATTAAATTTTTGTGAAAGCTCGTAGTAAAAAGCATCTAAGTAGGCAAGCTGTTTTCTTCCCTGTAAAAGCCATAGGGCCAACTCTTACTTTAGATAATAAGAAAAAAGAAGGCTATTACTAAACACGTGAAATCAAAGATAATAAACGTGGTGGAATTTGAGCCTGAGGCACATGCAAACGGTCATTGAAACTGATGATTAAAGTAAATGAGCACCTGGCCTGTGTATGAATTAGCTGTTGCACAGCATTAGGATTTGTGTGCACACAGAATTGCATAGATGGTCGTGACTCAGCGCTCGCTACGAACTGTCCAGCCAGTAAGGAAAACTGTCCTTCGTAAATCTAATGTTTATTACGTTTCCTTTCGTCTTACATTTTTTTGTCCACGTTGTGTAAAAGTAATATCTCTCGTGAGAAAAAGGTCTTCCTACTGCTGATGCTCACAGTATTCAAATGAACACGCGAACAGTGTGCCCCAGAGAAGGCTGCCTCCAGCCTGGATCGGACCTGGACTCCGGCCCTGTTTCGGGGCAGCCCCTGGAGAAGATGGCGGAGACCATTCTGACCTCCAGTGTTCAGGCCTGGCTAGATGATTTACAGGGAATAAAGGAAAGAATCCCATTTAAGAGTAGGGGAGAGGTCTGTTGATTTTTTTGAAATCGAATTACAAAGTGTCCCTCCTTTGGCTTGGGCTGGACAGTTTACTCAGTGAGCCACGGAGCATCTTGTGTGCTCTGGTAATAAGCCTTCTCAACAGGCGAAAGCTTCCCTTGTAAGAACTGGTGGTCTTTATTTTTTCGGAGTCAGTATCGGTGTTTCAAGGGGGCCAAAGATTGACTTTGCACTATTCCCTTTCAGTTAGAGACCACTGATACTTTTTTTTTTTCTAAGTTAGCAAGTGTTTCTGTCTATCTTCTTTTCATATACAACTTTGGAAATCTACTTGATTTTAGAGACTGCTCACTTGCTGCAGGGTGGGGAGTGAGTGTGCAGCAAGTCTTTAAGGGTCCCCATCACCAACAGCAAGGCTTCCTTGCTTGCACTGTCCTGTAGGTTTTCTTTTTTTAATATAGGTAGGTGGGGCCCTACCCAGTATGTGTATCGTACTTATGGGTAGTATCATTTTCATTTATGACTTACTGAAGTATGAAGAAGTGTTTTGCTTTTATCATTCCAGTTCTGAGCTATGACAGTTATATAATTGAAGGAAACATTTTTTCATAAATATCTTTAAAGATGACCATCCAATTGAATACAGAAAATCAATTATAATTACAAGGGAGAAAACTGATGTTTACTTTGATCTTTAAAGTTCTGGCACCTCTTAACCTTTTAGTAACTTACAGTATTTCTCTATAGCTTTAAAACGTTATAATAGATTAGGGATCTGAAATAGTCTTGATTTTTAAACCAAAGATTTTCTAAGGCCTTAAAACATTCTGTAGGCTAACCAATTTAAACTTACCTGGTTATCTAATCAAAGAATATTCTTTGCATTTTTAAATTGCTGTTTTTAAAAATCTTTTAATTTCCCATTTTGTAAAATTTTACATTCATATTTGAAGTTGATTTTGCAAGTATGTCTACATGAAATTATATGTATTGAACAAAGCAATATTAATACTGATATTATTAAAATGGATTTTGGTGCTATAAACTTGTAGCTTAAATCTAGTAGAAGTCTTAAGTATAGGTGAAATACATTTCGTAAGGGTGCCTGTCATTTAGAAGACCAAATAAACATTTTGCGTTTAAAAAAACTAGCAGATTGTTAGAGATTTCAAGGAGAATTATCTCACTTATTAAATTGCAAATTCCTGTTATTTGAATGAAGTAACCCACATACTCATCTTGTGCAATAGGTACACTCTGGAAAAGTTACATGTAAATAGAACTTTGTAAATTGTTTTTCCTTTGACAGTGTCTGATGTATTTTCACTTATAAAGAGGATTCCATGGTATAATAAAAATTATAAAAGAAAAATGTTTTGATAAAATGTTAGTCATGTTCTATTCGTACAGTATATTTAATCCTTGCTGCCATTAAAATAAGATGAGAAGATTCATGAGATTGCATAAATTCTGCTAGTTTTGGTTCTGTGCTCGCAGGGCATGTCTCCCTGGCCCTTACGGAGTCGGGAAGCACAGGCCCCTTCCCGCAGACCAGAGGGTGGGTCGTTCTCCAGTGGGCCCAGCAGCTTCCTTCCTCTGCGAGTTCAGTCCTGTCCTTTCGCCCCTTCACTCTTTTAAAAAAATGTTTTTCTAATATTATTGATATAATTAACATATAACTTTGTATTAAAGGTAGACAACATGATGTGACATACATATATATCATGAAATATCTACCCTGAGTTATCCGTCAGCTCACACAAAAACAATGATTTTTCCTTGTGATGAGAACTTTTAGGATCTACTCTCTTAGCAACTTTCAGATATGTAATACAGTATTCTTAACTACAATCACCATGCTGTCCCCAGGATTTATTCATCTTCTAACAGGAAGTTTGTAGCTTTGACCACCTTCACCTGTGTCCTCCACTCTCCACCCCTACCTCTGGTAACCACCTGGCTATTCTGTTCCTGAGATCAGTGTTTTTAGATAGATAGTCCTATAAATGAGATCATACAGTATTTGTCTTTCTCTGGCTTAGTTCACTTAGCATAATGCCCCTACGGCCACTTAACTTGTGCATAGTATTAGCTGAACACAAGGCACCCACGGAAACCAAACACACGGATGTACCAGAACCACTATTATTGCCCTTGGACAAGGGTGTGAGTTCTTGGGTCTAACCATCTATCGAACTGTCTTCTGTCCACTCTCACTGAGCATTCATGTTTCTAGATCATTCTCACCGTAAGACTTGCTTACCAAAGAAATGCTTCACTATTTTTGAGAAAATGTTTTTATAAGCAAAGATTTTTATATTTTTATGTCATTTTTATTTGGTCTTTCTTCTATTCAACATTAGAATTCAGCTCCATAAGTCTGATACTCAAGTATTACTGATTAATATTAAATATACTTAAATATTGTGTTATTAAACTTGATTCGTAATAGTGAAGTTTCTTTTGAAGACTATGTACTATGGGCATTTAGAACTTACCACGTCATACTGAGGTAATTTCAATAAAGTTTATCAAATATTCTATAGACTTGGACTTTTTGAAATATCCCTTTAGTTCTTATGTTCTAAACTTATATCTTACATACCCCTTCGGGAACGAGCTTATTTCCTATAGTTACTCTATCCCAGTCTATTACATTAAGCCATATAAAATTGTCACTACTTGACCATTTTTACCCATAAAAATAGTAATTTCACATGGTTGAAATACCGTCGGTTCTTGGTCTGGTCTGGCCATAAAGGTGAATTGACAAATGTGAAGAAACAGAATCCTGTGGACCTGATGGGAGCCAATCCTAATAAACGAGAGATGATTTTTACAGCAATTCAAAGACATCTCTTACCAGTCACCCAAATCCACCAAGCAAAAGAGAAAATCTGTGAGATGTGTTCTAATGGGTTTGAGGAAGCTTTTAGGGATAAGTGTCAAATAATTTAAAAATTTCACAGTTCTGAAACGTAGGGGAATGAAGACCTTCCCATTGCATATTTTTTATTATTTATTTATTTATTTATTTATATTTATTTATTTATTCATTCATTCATTCATTCATTCATTCATGAGAACACATGAGAGGGGATAGGGTCAGAGGACGAAGCAGACTCCCTGCCGAGCAGGGAGCCCGATGCGGGACTCGATCCCGGGACTCCAGGATCATGACCTGAGCCGAAGGCAGTCGCTTAACCAACTGAGCCACCCAGGCGCCCCTTTCCCGTTGCATCTTTAATGTTGGCCGGCCTTCCAAGGACGGCTGTTGGGCTTACTTTCTCCTGCAAGAGGTCTGGATGCCTGTCCTCCTTGGAAGGAAGGAGGCTGGGCACCTCCAGCTCCTGTGAGTCTGCATGGCCCTGAGGAGACAATGTTCTCATGCCCAGCACGGTGGCCCCTGCTCTTCTAGGGACCAAATAATGAGGGTGGCCGACCATATGTGGGTCCAAAATCACGAAACATCTTTTGTCCTTTAAACGTGAAGCTTTCCAGGGCACCTGGGTGGCTTGGTCGGTTAACTGTCTGCCTTTGGCTCAAGTCATGATCCTGGGGTCCTGGGATTGAGTCCCCGCTCAGTAGGGAGCCTGCTTCTCCCTCTCCCTCTGCCTGCCACTCCCCCGCTTGTGCCCTCCCCGCTTCTCTCTCTCTCTCTGCCAAATAAATGAATAAAATCTTTTTAAAATGCTTATTTTTTTACTTGGGAGGAAAAAGCTTTGGATAGAGGTCTTTTAAATATTTTTTTAAAGATTTTATGTATTTTAGAGAGCACGCTAGCAGGAGGGAGGGGCAGAGGGAGGGAGAGTCGCAAGCAGACCCCGCGCTGAGGGCAGAGCCCAATGTGAGGCTCGACCCCACAACCCTGAGATCATGACCATGCCCATGGAAATAAATGACAAAGCACAGATGGGCCCCAAACCCAGCTTAGCAGGACAGGAGGACATCCCCGAAGAGGCGATACCTGACCTGAACAGAAGCCCACCTCTGGGCCCAGCCAGGAGGATGAGATGGGGCAGCGCAGCCAAAATGCACAAAAACCTAAGACCCAGAGCAGTTACCAAAATAAGCTTCTTGTCAGGGAAAAATAGATTTTCTAAAGTCACAGACTCTTGCTTCTGAACATTTTTTATTCACAACTAGGATTATGCAAAAGCGACTCAACTCATCATTTCAGTCAAAACAAGTCATGTCATCATTGCTTTAAAACAAACTGTTGAAAACAATATACAGCTGACTCTTGAGTAATGGGGTTAGGAGCGCCAATTCCCTGCACAGTTGAAAATCTGACTATCACTTTTGCCTCCCCAGAAACTTAACTACTAATAGTTTACTGCTGACCAGAAGCCTTACTGATAACAAACTGTTGACTAATACCTGTTTTGCTTGTTAAATGTATATAATAAAGCTAAAGAAAATTTATTAAGAAAACCATAAGGAAGAGAAAATACATTTACAGCACTGTACCATATTTATAAAAAAAAAAAAAAAAAAAGGCTGTAAGTGGACCCGTGCAGTTCAAACCTGTGTTCCTCAAGAGTCAGTACAATGTATACAATGAAGGCACATTTCATACTCAGTCGTTTTCTTCCTCTTCACGCCCCGCTTTCCTCTTTCCGGAGGCCTCACCTCCTGAACAGATACAAGAGATAAGATGTAAAATTCAGTATCAAACGTTTCTAGAAATTTTGTCTACATTTGTTCTGAGCTATCCTCAACAAAATACTAGCAAACCAAATCCAACAATTATTATATATATTTTTTTGGGGGGGGTTCCAGTAATTTTTTTTTAAATTTTTTTATCCAACAATATATTTTAAAAAGTCATTCACCAACTGATCAAGTGGAATTTATTCCTGGGTTGCAAGGGTGGTTCAATATTTGCAAGTCAATCGGGACACCTGGGTGGCTCAGTTGGTTAAGCATCTGCCTTTCGCTCAGTCCTGGGATCAAGTCCCGCGTCGGGCTCCCTGCTCAGCTGGGAGTCTGCTTCACCCTCTGCCTCTCCCCACTGCTTGTGCTCTGTCAAATAAATAAAATCTTTAAAAAATATATTTGCAAGTCAATCAATGTGATACATCAGTAAGAGAAAGGATAAGAATCATATGATTGTTTCAGTTAACACAGAAAAAGCATTTGACAAAGTACAACATCCATTCATGATAAAAACCAACAATAAGTTTAGAGGGAACATACCTCAATGTAATAAAGGCCACCTATGAAAAACTCACAGCTAACATCATCATCCTCAATGGGGGAAAAACTCAGAGCTTTTCCCCTAAGGTCAGGAACAAGACAAGGATGGCCACTCTCACCACTTTTATTCAACATAATACTGGAAGTGCTAGCCTCAGCAGTTAGACAACAAAAAGAAAGAAAAGGCATTCAAATCAATAAGGATGAAGTATTAACTGTCACTATTTGCAGATGACATGATACTGTACGTAGAAAACCCAAGACTCCAAAAAACTGCTAGAACTGATACACAAATTCAGTAAAGTTGCAGGATCCAAAATCAATATACAGAAATCTGTTGCATTTCTCTACACCAATAATGAAGCAGCAGAAAGAGAAATTAAGAAAACAATCTCATTTACAATTGCACCCAAAATAATAAGATACCTAGGAATAAACCTAGCCAAAGAGGTAAAAAAAAAAGACTCAACTCTGAAAACTATAAAACACTGATGAAAGTGAAGAGGTCACAAAGAAAGGGAAAGCCATTCCATGCTCATGGATTGGAAGAACAAATATTATTAAAATGTGTATACTATCCAAAGCATTCTACACTTTTAATGCAATCCTTATCAAAATACCAACAGCATTTTTCACAGAAGTAGAATAAATCTAAAATTTGTATGGAACCACAAAAGACCCTGAATAGCCAAAGCAATCTTGAAAAAGAAAAGCTGGAAGCATCAGAATTCTGGACTTCAAGCTCTATTACAAAGCTGCAGCAATCTGAACAGTATGGTACTGGCACAAAAACAGACACACAGATCAACAGAATAAAAACCCAGAAATAAACCCACAACTACATGGTTAATTAATCTTCGGCAAAGCAGGAAAGAATATCCAATGGGATAAAGTCTCTTCAACAAACGCTGTTGGGAAACCTGGACAGCTACATGCAAAAGAATGAAACGACCACTTTCTAAATTCAAAATGGATTAAAGACCTAAATATGAGATGTGAAACCATAAAAATCCTAGAAGAAAGCACAGGCAGTAACTTCGACATTGGCCATAGCAATTTTTTTTTTTTTAGATAGGTCCCCTGAGGCAAGGGAAACAAAAGCAAAAATGAACTATTGGAACTTCATCAAAATAAAAAGCTTCTGCACAGCAAAGGAACAACAAAACTAAAAGGCAACCTACTAAATGGGATAAGCTATTTGCAAATGACATAGCTGATAAAGGGTTAGTATCCAAAATATATAAAGAACTCGTACAACTCAGCATCTAAAAACCAAATAAACCAATTAAAAAATGGGCAGAAGATATGAACAGACACTTCTCCAAAAAAGACATCCAGACGGCCAACAGACACATGAAAACATGCCCATCAGCACTCCTCATCAGGGAAATGCAAGTCAAAACTCCAACGAGCTATCACTTCACACCTGTCAGAATGGCTAAAATCAAAAAACACAACAAACAAGTGTTGGTGAGGATGTGGAGAAAAAGGAACCCTGTTGCACTGGTGGTGGGAATGCAAACTGGTGCAGTCACTCTGGAAAACGTATGGAGGTTCCTCAAAAAGTTAAAAACAGAACTACCCTGTGATCCAGCAATCGCACTACCGGGTATTTACCCAAAGAATACAAAAACACTAATTCAAAGGGATACATGCATCCCTATGTTTATAGCAGCACTATCTACAAGAGCCAAATTATGGAAAGAGCCCAAGTGTCCATCGCTAGATGAATGGATAAAGAAGATGTGGTATATATACACTGGAGTATTACTCAGCTGTAAAAATGAATGAAATCTTGCTATTTGTAATGATGTGGATGGAGCTAGAGAGTATAATGCTAAGTGAAATAAGTCACAGTAGGACAAATACCTTAGGATTTCATTCATGTAAAATTTAAGAAACAAAAAAAAATGAACAAAGGGAAAAAAATAAACCAAGAAACAGACTCTCAACCTTAGAGAACAAACTGATGGTTACCAGAGGGGACGGGGGGTGACAGGTGATGGGGATTAAGGAGGGCACTTGTGATGAGCACCGGGTGTTGCATGGAAGTTTGAATCACTATATTGCACACCTGAAACTAATACAGCACTGTATGTTAACTAACTGGAATTAAAATTAAAACTTAAAAAAAAATTAAATAAAGTGGTTCTGAGCTGATGGGGGAGCCAGCCCTTCACATCAGAAGGCCACCCCCCAGGAGCAACCCATGTCCACAGACACTGTCTCTAGCCGGTCAGGTCCCACGAACCTGGGCTTCCCTGGGCAGCAGTCAGGGCAGAAGAGACGCTTCCTCCTCACTCTATACTGACTGACATTGCAATCATATTACTTGAAATACATTCCCCTGCTTCCTCACTATTTCACTTTTTTAATCTAGAATTCAGTATTTTAAAGCCTGTGGGTTTTTAAAAAGGACTGCTTGCATTTTATGTGCTTTCTCAGTATACTTTTGAAGTTTTATTTTATTTTTTTAAAAGATTTTATTTAGGGGTGCGTGGGTGGCTCAGTTGGTTAAGTATCTGTCTTTGGCTCAGGTCATGATCCTGGGGTCCTGGGATCGAGTCCTGCATCGGGCTCCCTGCTTAGCAGGGAGCCTGTTTCTCCCTCTCACTCTGCTGCTCCCCCTGCTTGTTCTCTCTCTCG